CTGCGTGGAGTGCCCTCCCTCCGACGGTTGTACCCGCTCCTCCTAGAACCCTATTTAAAGCACTAGTAGACATTTATTTATGCGAATCTCGCACTGGCAAGCATACTGCCCCGCGCTGAGAACATAAAGAGCAGTGCTACACCCTTTTTTCACTTGTGCCTTTCAGGTGAACGACAGCCACTGACCGACAAGACCAAAACCGACCCGGGAAACCTGGGGAAAAGCCTCGATCCTGTGTATCAATCCGTGAATCCGTTATTAAAGACATACCAGAGCCCGGCCTTCCCTCTTGCTGTTCACCGGAGTATATATACTGCATTCAGCCGCTACCTTAAATTGCACCGAATCTTATACTCTCTCCATAAGGGTTATCTGCAGATTAGGAACACGTTGCTTTCACAATCGTCTTCAAATTTTCATTAACCTGAATATTTCGGCCCGCCTTAAATGCCCTCTAAAAATGCATTGACGCATGAATCCGGTACGATAATACGTAATTATGTTACCCGGAAATCAGTCCCAAAAGTGTCCCAGTCTTCCAGAGCCACGGAAGAACCGCCAATACCTGGTTTTGGTTGCTGCTCAGAGCTCACAACAGACGTCGTTCAATTTGTCTAAAGTCACAAGGATAAAACAGGCATATCTTGATTAAGGTTTCTCCAATGAAATATCTATCAGTCGTTATTTACCACAAATCACCAATCCCAAAGTACATCATAACCATTAATCGACGGGTTACAACTGTGCCAGTTATGAATTAGGCTCCAACAAAACTACAAATAGTTCGCAAACTGAGTGCCACGCCTTGGCACGGTAATTTTACACTGCTTTTGATTACGAAGTTTTGGGGCAGACATGGTCGCACAGTATCATGATGATGCATAGTTCCTTAAGCAAAGCCCAGCTAACTAGGAACACCTATGCGTTTTAAATGCCAGTACGTTCTTGTTTTGTAGATACGAGCTTCTTCGTAAAATAAATTCACATTGAACACATCAAAATGCTGAGAGGACGAATCAGTGTTCGTGATGTTACGACCATAGAGGAGTTAAAATCAATGATAATGTTACATTCGGTATTTCTTAAGGTATCCTCGATTTAATGTGATAAGAGGAGGCTAGTAAAATTACATTTGCTCATTTTTCGTCTTAAAACAGTGGCAGATTACACACGCACAATGAAGAATTTCCTTGTATTTTTTCCGCGTTTGTCATATGGATGTCTTTGAAAACAGCCACGATGTTTCTTTTAAACAGTGACACAAGCATGGTAATGTGGTTTCCCAGATCACTGAACCTGTATATTCATTGCAATCATTTTAACTAAACAGGAATCCATTTACCATTTTTTGTGTTTTCTTAACGTGGAAAGCGCATTTTTCTGAACAGAAAATAACTATAAGGATTTGCGTCATTGAACCAGTGCCAAGACGTAAGACTGGTTAAATTTTCCACGTATGTTGTTCGTTGTTATTGCCTTTTCCGATAGTTTTATATATACCGCATTTTCTTCAGTCTGATATATCACACCAAATTATGGCAAGTTATAGTGGGGCTGGCATTAGTTTTATTGAGTCATTTTGCGAAAAACAATATCCTTTCACTCAAACAAATATAGTCTAAAAGTTTGTCAGGAAAAAGGTACATCCACAGAGCGTTTGATGTAATTTGGGATTCCCAGACTGCTTCACTTAACGAAATATCGCTTTTCATCAATCGCAGCATATTTGGAGTGATTTATTATGTTGGCTTTGTTTTCCCAAGCGCAGCACGTCCATCGTTTAACGCACTGAACAACTGTTCAGCAGATCTTAGGAATCTTCCGTTGATTAGAAGGCACACTTAGTTTTCAACCTTTAACATCCTGGGTTGTAACATGTACGCTTAACAACCGAACCACTTGCTGCTGAGCAGCAGTATTATTAAATCATGGATAAACATGGTGCAGTGTCAGTTAACGCTTAATGCTGGAGTACACACCATCTGGATTTTGCGGAGATTATTTGATGAATGTCTTGCAAACAAGAGATTTTGCATTGCTTAAGATATTTATCTATCCATGCTTATGAAAATATATCCTGTTCGGCTTTCCAGCTTGTCAGTATAAGGTGCGCGACTGACTAATGGTTTCAAACAAGTCGATCTGTTCCCTACACCATAAAAACNAAAAACTAAAGTCTTTGAAAAGCAATGACTGTGCGCCGATGAGCGCACTGAAATGCTGTGTTGAAGTCCAATGTAGCAAATGATTAGGCTTTTATCACTCTGCAGTTCCATCACAATGTGGGTGACTTCTATTGCAGTTTTTCCAGAAACACAACCCATGTAATCCGCGGTTGTTTGAGAGTGCGATATACTTACTCAGAAATTCCTCGAAATCGATGCCCTGCAGGACTCACGGCCTCTTGGTGAAAACAAAAGCCCACCGTCGTATGAGGTAGGCCATTAGAGAGTGATCCTCAAACTGTGTGGACAGCTGTTAGCTGGCATTAAATGCTGCTGTTCCTTCTAGGCACAACTTTGATCGCACCCTATAACAAGCATTCCAGACCGTTCAGTTTACTTCGGCTCCCACAAATAAGCAAGAAGCACACCGATTAGCCTTCATCGAGGCTTTATCAAAGGTCAGCTATATCAGCTAACCTCCGCAGCAAACAAACACTCTGCAGGTAGGAAGCGTACTTATAAAGCGTGATAACATATGAATGGATCAATACAGGTAAGTTTCAATACATTCCTTCAAACTCTTCCACACAGTTTAAGAATCTACGTGCGTAGATCAAGAGTTTCACTTGATGCAAGCGAATACACACAAAACAACTTTGGGTGTAACTACGGACACAATCCACCCGAAATAAAACCTTAAAATTTCTAAGGAAAGAGGAAAACCCATGCGGGACATCAAAATCTCAGTAAATAGAGAAGCATTTTCAGCTGCAACAGGCGAGATAAGTGAGACTGGAAGTAAACGAGAGCTCAGTAGCTAGCTCAATGAAGCGGTGACTAAAAACACCAGTAAAATCTTTGGAGTGCAGTTTAGCTCACATTCAGCAAAACTGCTCTGTTGTGGGTGCCAGTGAGTTGAAAGTAATGGTGTTCATTCGTTAGGAGAAGAAATGCGGTCCAAAATAAGCCTGATAAACCACGGGGAGACAGTAAGACAGAATGGTTTGTGTCCAACATTCATTAAGGAGGAGGGACAACCCTCGGCCACGCATAGGACAAAGTATTTTAGCGGTGCACACACTGCATCAGGGGATACCCACTGATAAAGGCCCATCTGTATAAGTAAAGCTAGTTATATTTCTGCAAGAGGATGCATAGATCACGTCTTAAGCTTCGAGAGATTCTGGAAGCCAAAAACTGGAGAACTCCAGGTGTGCAAAGGTAATTTGCAATAAGCCAAAATTTTAGGAAATATATAAGGCATTTGCTGCAGGAAAA